CCCACAAGGATAGAGAGACATAGTATGTGTGTGTGTGTGTGTGTGTGTGTGTGTGTGTGTGTGTGTGTGTGTGTGTGTGTGTGTGTGTTGAAGAACAGGATGTCAGAAGAAAACAGGGACTAAAGAAAAAGAAAAGAGGACAAAGTAAAGTACTGGATGGTGTCCCGAGCTGCAGGACTGAAGCCCAGACCCTCCCTGACCCATGTCCTGTCACGTGTCCCCGTCCCCCCCAGCCCGTCCCCCTTCAGTCCTCCAGGACAATAGGCTCATTGGTGCTTGACGGGACGAGGGGCACGGCCAGAGAGCGGGGCGGCGGCGGTGGCGGGAGCTTGATCCGGACCAGGAGGTGGGGCTTCCTGGCTGCCCGGCGCATCTCTGACTGGGTCAGGTGTTTCCTCAGAGCCCTGCAGGAAGAGGAGCAGAGAAACCTGAGAGATGAGCAGAGTCTGTCCTCTCCTGACAGCCTGTTCCCGCCTCTCAGGCAGGCGCACACCTGTACCTGGTGTCCTTTGTGGCCACGAACACCACAGGGTTAGGAGCTTCTCCCTGGCTGACCTTCTGCCTCTTGATGACAGACTGGGAGGTGGTCCTCATGCCTGAAGTATACGGCCTCCCATTGGCTGGGTAGGGGACCCCTGCAGCCTGCGGGCCAATGAAAGCACACATGAATGAACAGTTCTGATCCTCCGGGGAGCTGCAGGACTACACTGACCGTGTCAAAGCCTCTCTTTCCCAGCAGGCTCTGGGCCACTCGAGGCTGGCTGGCCTGGTTTCTGTTGATGGGTGTCGGGGGTCCTCTGGAGGCCTTCAGTTTTAGAGGCGCTGATACCGCTGGAGGAGCAGCACAGCATTCAGACAACACAAGTGATCACACAGGAGCCAGAGAGTACAAAACAGTACAATGAAAAAGGAATTACATCTTTAAAAACATTTATAAACACTAAAATGAAGAAAACTATTCTGAACATTTCCAGAATAAAATCAAAATAAAATATCTGCAGTTTTGAGAGGATGGAAACCCAAACACTGGTTGGTACACAGGCCTCTGAGTTCTCTAAACACTGGAACAAACAGAACGGTCCAGGCTGAACTCAACACAATGTGCTTCCTTTATAAACTTCAGCTGATTTCAGAGAACTGAGGCCAACATTTGAGACTCTTATTGTGAAGGAGTGTTCTACTGTTCTGACTGAAGCTGCTGCAGAAACAAAGGAAGCAAGGTGAGCAGGTAAACTTAGCAACCCTGTTAGAAAGAAAGGAGAGAGACAGGTGGAGCAGAGAAACTGAGAGGAAAACAGACAAAGGAAGGTCAGCTGGGCCAGTGATGACACAGGTGCTTTAGCTCTGTGCTAATGTGAAAGCTAACGGCTAAAGCTGTTTGAAGCAGCTCATCTGTATTTTCAATTTCAGGTGGAGTCATGTCTACGTTCTCCTCTGTCAGATACTGTCCAGGACCAACCACAGCCTGACAGTAACCTGGTAACCTTCATCCTTTAGTGTTAGTAACCAGCTGTCAGTGGGACAATTTACTAATTACTTTTCATTTATAAAACTAAACAACCTACAGTACTTTTACTGTGTGTCCTGATCCCAGATCAATATCTGATATTAGTCAATAAGCGAACACCAGATTATATCAGCCTGCATCTAAAATCACAGATATAAGTGGTCCACTCCAGTGGTCCACTCAGGGTTCTATCCAAAACACTGAAAGCACCTTGAATAGTTAAGTTTTACTTTAAGTATATCTAGTTTTTATTGGCTTTATTCAGGTCATTTTTTTAGGCTTTTCCATTTTCTCATTAATAACTGTACAATCTGCTTATGTTTAAGACAAAACTGATGTAACTTATTAGTTCATAATAAATGGGACCAGTCTTTGTCATAACTGCTGTTGTTTACTGTTGGATCTGATCAAGACCTTGTAAGATGCCACACTATAAAAAGTAATAAAAATATATATGATGTTATATCGAGTTGACATGTATCATCTGATACTCGGGGCTGTGGTATCTAGGGATGGGTACCAAATTCGATACTTTTTTAAGTACAGACCGAATTCTGTCTGTACTACCGAGTATCTATTCAAGAAACATCAAACGGTTCCATGTTTCAGTACCTAAACRCATCATTGCAACCATATTGGCGTAAGAGTGGTGAGTTTTCCATGCTTGTCCTGAATGCAGCATCACGCAAGAGCGTAATGATGTCAGCAGCCGCTGKTTCAGTAAACAGAGGCAGAGCTCGGTCTGAACGTAGCTTCACAGCTCGCAGCTCCTGAAGTAAAACTCACCGAACAGACCGCCTCTGAATTATCTGGTGGATTAATTATCTTGTGAGCACGATGTTTGCTTGCTCAAAGTAAGTAAAGTACCACCACTTTCTTTATTTCATCCACCATTAAACAGAGACCGGCAGAGGAAAACAACAGAGGAGCTTCCTGACTGTCTGAACACGTCTGACCTGAAAGAGCACAAGCAGCCAACTTGAAGTGTTGGACTCGTTTAGGATGTTCAAAACGTAACTTGACTATCTTTTATTTATTTTAACTGCATCCTCTGTTGTTTATTTGATTTAAACTTATTTGCCTTCCATGGACCTCCATCAAACATTGGGCCTCATGCAAGAACCGTTCGTACGCACAGATTTGTTCTTAAATTGTGCGTACGAGTGATTTAGGAG